TATGCTGTGGAATATTTGTTTAATGATGCAAAATGTATTGTATTCTTTTATGTTACATCTATTTAACTCTGTGAAGCTGTGTTACTTTGCCTGCCTGAAATACCTGATTGTTCTAATAAAGAGCTAAACAGACAATAACTAGACAGGAAAGAGAAATAGGCAGGGCTGGTGGGCAGAGAGAATAAATTAGAGATGAATAATAGGGAAGAGAGAAGAGCGAGGAGGGAGAAAAGGAGGCGAGAAAAGACTCCAGGGGCTAGGTGCCCAGCAACACAGCTGGCCATGGAGTAAGAAGTAAAGAAAAGTATGTAGAATAAAGAAAGATAAAAGTCTAGAGGCAAAGGTAGAAGGGATAATTTTTAAAAAGCTGTCTAGCAACAGCCAGGCATTTGTAAGTAATAAGTCTCCATGTGTTTATTTGGTAGCTGGGTGGTGCTCCCTACATCTTCCCAAACAGCAAAAAGTAAGGAAAAAAAAGTCAACTACAGAGGGAGGTTTAAATGTTGCTTTCTATGTTTACTGTTCTCTAGATTACAGGGATTTAAACCCAGTCTACATGTGGTGAGTTGCAGAGAGAGCTCTCAATCTAGAATCTATAGCCTTCTTTAAATAAATAAAAAAATGGTCACAAGTGCGTATCATGCTCTCTTCCTTTCTGAACAGTAACAACAAGACACAATACAGAGCTATGGATTAAGAACAAGCAAACGATCAGGGAAACCCTTAGGCAGAGGAGCTTTTCCCCTTTCTATTTCACCCGGAGGAACCCTACCATCCTTATATTCCACCCAGAAGTTTTCAGGGCTCATGTTGGCCCTGGAGACTCTCCTTGTCTATCACTTGTTCAGGCTCTGGAATATGCTGATGTCCTCCTGTACTCCTCTGCATGAGGCAGGAGTACTTTAGTTAAATCACTTTGCTTCTAGGAAAAGGAGAAGTTCTATCTGCAGGAGCTTCTTGCTATGATCTGTCCTACGGATAAGGTTAAGAGGGAGCTAATATACTTTCAATAGTGATATCTGGGGTATAATTGAAAACTACTGGGTTCCTGGCCTGCAGGCATGAGTAAGCACAAATTAGTCTCACACTGGAAACTGATTCTATGGTGTTTGGGACAATCTGACAACCTCTTCCATTACCTAGGTGACGCCTGCTCTGTTTACTGGCTTGGGAAACTTGAGGATTAAGTGGCCTTCCATCAGTCTCTTGCACCTTTGGTTTTGCTTTACAGATGGCTATAGAAGCTTTCTTAGGGTCCCTGCTGGCTTGTCTCTTGGACAGATGGAGCAAGTTAAACCCCTAAAAATTTAGGAAGAAAACTTTAGTATTTTTTCAACCCATGAAGCCTTTCTGTAACCAAGAGGGAAAATCCTTATATCTAAATTTTACTTTACCCCTCTAGACCACCCAGAATGTGCTAAAAAACTGCAGGATGAATATATAGGATCCAATAAACCTTGATGCCAAATTAAAAAAATAATGACCTTAAAAAGTTTTGACCACAGGAATCCCTGAGGATGTAATCTGATCTCTGGGAATCTCAAAAGCTTTGGAGCTCTGAATATCCTTGCTCTCCTTACTCCAAGGAAAGAAAAAGCAAAGCACCACCCCCTTTTGTGTAGAGGGACTGTACTTTCCAGATTTTAAATGTCTGCCTCCATTCGCAAACACACAATGTTTGTGAGGACAGGTTTTCAAGCAGTTGATTTTCCAGACTAGTCAGGAAGGGATCCCAAGTTAGACCCTGGTAAAGGCAGATATCTCTGTTAGTTTGTTTATGAGGGCAGACTGCCATGCACCCACGTCCTTACCAAGTTTGAAGAAACCACAGGATAGCCTTTTGAAATAAATGCTTCCTATTTATTTGTTGTTACAAATAAATTTGTTGTTATTTATTGTTGATACAAATTGTTGTTGTATCTCTTGTCAATTCCCTTTTCCAAAGCGAGACCCCACAGGTAAGACTCATGGGAAAATTCCGTGCTGGTGGATACAGACACTTGTTACAGTACTCAACACAAGTTTCCTTTTGGGCATAAGTGACTGACTCCAGATTTACAGAGAAGCAAATATTTTCTTGTGTTATATTGGCAAATTTTCCCGTGCTGTTTAAACTCACCGAAGCTGGCTCTGGTTCTGACATGGGATTTGGGCCTCCCACTTCAATCTCAAGCATGTTTGTCTCAAAACAGCCTCAAAATCTCTGTCCTGGGTCAGACTGGCCCCTGACTCTGTGGCAAGGAAAAGGAGAACAAAACACCCCAAGGGTAAAGGCATTGTGCCCTCAAGGACAGCGAGCGGGTGATTAAGCTATTTCCAACACGGTATAGTATTGCTTTTCTCATGATATAAAAATGTCTATGATAAAAACAAACAAACAACTACAGCAACAGCAACAAAAATCTCCAAAATGGCTAATGGGAGCTCATCCTTGGAGAGGAGTTTCTGCCTAAAAGGCCTTCAGCCAGTAACTCTGTTGTAATAGTTCAAACAGGCTTCTTGAGCTGGTGTCTAGTGGAGCTTGGACATGTAGATCGGCTGCTTTTCTCTATCTGCATTCAAAGCCAAAACATGGCTACAGTAGATTATTCCATGAACAGAACAAACCAAAGCATGGCTGGAGTAGATTTTTCCACAGGCAGTACAAACTATAAAATGTAAAATAAATTATTTCTCAATCTTTGAGAATTAGGGAAGTCAGCAATTCTTGTTTTGGGTTCCACTCTTGATAATTTTCAAGGTCGCAGTAAAAGGGAAGAAAATGACTTTTCTAACCATGGTCTGTACACTAATCTATCATAGTTAAAACAAAGAGGGGTGTCTTCTGTCATCTAAAACTGTGATTACAAGATAAACGTAATGATTTTTGGTTCTGTGTATGTGTTTTCTTTTCTGCCTTTTCTTATTTGCAGTATTCCTTCAAGGACTTTTGATAATATGCCAAACACTTTCTAATTTTTTTTTAATTCTCAGGTTTTGTGAAACCACAAGCAAAAAAAAAAAAGATGTAAAAGTCCAATCAAGGGGAATGGGGTGCTTAAGACTTATAACAAAAAGTCTCATAATTAAAAATATATGTAATCCTAATTTTTTAATTCTATATGTAGCTTGGATTCAACTTTATCTTATTAAAAAGGTTTGGCACAGCACCACCTCCCAAGCTGAGCAGCTGCCATTTTCACGAGCATGCCTACTTTCAAAAACATCTGCTCAACTGAGCAAGCTGATTCCAAGTGTTCTTTCATAGAAGGAGAGGATGGAAAGGATCTCTGCCAGAGTGTCCAACCACATTCCTCCCAATAGTATGCAATTCTGCCCTAGTTGCATGTGGTTATATAGTCCTGAGGAAAAAATAAGATATATAGGCTAGGCTTGGCAGTGGTGGTGCACACCTTTAATCCCAGTACTCCGGAGGCAGAGACAGGCAGATCGCTGAGTTTGAGGCCAGCCTGGTCTACACGGTGAGTTCCAGGACAGCCAGGACTACACAGAGAAACCCTGTCTTGGGGGACAAAATAACACACACACACACACACACACGCACACTGAAAAGGGTAAGGAAGCCATGGTTAAGCAAAGCCCTTGGTGTGTCCTCACTTAGATGAGTAAGTGGTAAGAAGAGAGCAGAGGAATCAGAGGTTCCTCCCAAGCCCATGACTGCTGCTGATCCCATCTTAAGCTGGTTTGACATTGAAAATAAAGTGATTGCTTATGGTCACCTACATGGTCTTAAACAGCCAGTAGGAAAGAATAGTCAGGGTTAAAATGATCAATACATTTTTTTCTCAGTTCAAGGACTGAAGTGCTCAGACATTATACTTAATCATGTAAGATGGTATTGAAAAACTATTTCCCACTAATGAATCCCTTCTTGACTAAAAAAAATGTATTTTATAAACTCGGAATCACTCTTTTTTTGGAAGAGTAATGTGACCTGAACCCTAACTGTCTATGTTCATTGCCTGATTTAAGGGGGCTGACAGACTCACAGACTCGGGAAAATTATTCAGGAGTAACTGAGAAACTGCTGAAAAATCCTATGGGGTTGTATTTCTCTTTTAGTTTTGTGTTGTCTGGTTGTGACCTCAGTGAATAGAATCTGGACTTCACTCAGGTCTGCCCTAGTGTTCTCCCTCACTGGACATTGTGTCTGGTACACAGGCAGAGGCACGATAAACAGGGGGGTATGGCTAAAATGGCAATTATTTTAACTGACTTCTCTTACAGAGTTTCCGGTCATTTGCTCTATGTGCATGACTCTGATCTAACAAACAGCTATTTGCACAGTTACATTCTGACTTAACAAACAAAACTCATGTCACCCAAAACTTAAACACCCATTTCTCTGACCTTATTCTTCTACAGAGTTCTGGTACATGGTCCAGCCAGCAATATGATTACACATCACCTTAAATAGGACTTATGTTAATCAAAATGTTGAAGAGTTTTTCTCACTGTCTTCATCTCTTTATGTTCCCCCTGAGGTTGTAAGAGAGGAGAGTCTGTGATCAACTGAACTTACACTGGCCGGTGAGAAGTCTTAAACTCTGTAGCCAAACTAACAGCTGTTGTGAGGAAGGCCATTTGTTTGTTTCTTGGCCACGCAGACTCCCAAAATAATCACACAGAAACTATATTATTTAAATCACTGGTTGGCCCATTAGCTTTAGCTTCTTATTGGCTAACTCTTACATCTTAATTTAACCCATTTCTATTTTTTTTATTTGCTAATGGTATTTATTGCTTTTCATTGAGAACTTTTTGAATTTAAAAAAAAAAGTGGATTAAAGTTTAGTTTGTGCTGAGAATGCAAGAGGTGAGGCCCTATGCTGCCTCTGCCACTAGCGATGGCTGAGCACTGTTTACCAGCTGCCCCAGAGGTGCCCCGGGTGGCAGTACTGCCTCCTTATGCACTGCCATGACATACTTGTCATCAGTCAAGTCACTGGAATGGTACAGAGGTTTTTCTGTTTGTTTTGGGTGCTTTTTTGCTTTCCTGCTATAAATAATGAAAATTTCAGTTCATTTCTGAAAAATAAATTGGTCAATAAATTCATTTTGTTCTGCTTCTACTTTACACAAAGCTTCATATTCAACCCGATACCTTTCTAGCTGCATTTTCTTCTCTGCTATTAGGGCTTGCAGCTGCTGCTGTTGGCCTTCTCTCTGTTTTGCTATGGATTTCAGCAAGTTCCGAGCACCAATGGCCTTCATCTTCTCGTTCTCTGCTTCTTTTGCGAGCTGATCCACAAGCTCAATTAGACCACCAACTATTTTCTGAAACTGGCCAATTTTGTCCACAAAATCCTTACACTCTTCCTTGAGTTCTATGGTCTGCTGGATAACCTCTGGGTCCAACACCCGAAGCTTGTTCAGCTCATCAAAGTGCAGCCCTGCTTCCCCCAAGAAATCCTTGGCCATAGCTGCCGACCCGTCGCGACGGCACGCTACGGCCCAGACGGCTGTCGGTGGAAAGTTCTCTCGGGTAACCGCAACCGGCCGCTGCCACGGATACAGCTAACCCATTTCTATTAATCTGTATATCACCACATGGCTGTGGCTTACCAGGTAAAATTCCAGCATCTGTCTCTGGCAGGACTACATGGTTTCTCCAAACTCCCAGCATTTAGTTTAGTTTTTCCTACCTAGCTCTGTTCTGCCCTGCTTTGCTATAGGCTCAAGACAGTTTTTTTATTATTATTATTAACCAATGGTATTCACAGCATACAGAGGGGAATTCCATATCAAATGGCCTCCTTCAGGGTGTAGATCGTGCAGTGAACAGCAGTGACAAAGCCTGCCAAGAGTTCCTTGGATGACTTTCTTGCTTGTTCTTTTCCTCTAATAAGGCCCAAACAACCACATCTATTTTCCAAACTACAACACTCTCAGTAGAGATTATAGAAGTGCTAAGAGCCTCATTTTTTGTAGGTTACAGATACTACCTATACTACCTACCTCACATAACCTACTTCAAGGATCCATGTTACCATCACAGGGTGATCTCACATCCTGGGTCTTTGCCATTTGTTAAATTTTATCTTATTGTGGCTCATTAGATTGGCTATCCTCTGAGGCATTCTAACTGCTACCGCTTGTATATCACTATCTTTGCCAGCTTGGAAACAATTAGAGCTACCACAGACTTTCAATGGTTAGGTTGACCTCTGAGAGGAGAAAATAAGTTAGACAGATTCCCTGATAGACAGACAGATAGGGAAAGGGGCCATGACTAGGTAATAAAGATGGTGAACTTTCAAGATGACTGACTTCTTCCTCACTCTTCTGACCTGAGACAAAAACCAGTAGCTTGAAACAAAGACCTTATGGACTTTCTTCTAACCAACTAACCCTAACTTAGGGTTAAATCCCCTCAAAGACTTAAAACAAAAAACAAACAAACAAACAAAATGGCTCTCAAGGAGAGGATGGGCTTTGGCTTTCCAAATCCCCACTTTGTTTTGCAGAGGGTCTTTTCTCTCTGTATGCCTGCTATATGTATTTCCTTATCCCTAATAAAAACCATTTTGTCCTCCAAAATACATTTTTAATGTATAAATCGTTCTGTGTTCCAGAGTTCAACTTCTACTTGACTAAGAGGTAGAGTGTCCCATGCCAACATCTAGACACCTCCAAGGGCTGGAGGAAAGACAGAGAGAAGAGTGGGATGGTCTAGAATGACCATCTGTATATCTTAGAGGTGAGGGCAGAGGGCAATGGGAGATGACTTGCCTGCAAAGGACTGAGGGAAGAGGGCAAAGGGAAATACACCTGCATGTATGGGGACCTGAAAACAAAGACAACCTTAAATTACCAATACTATTTTTCAAAATAAGAGTGTTGTAGAAAGGGAGGAGGAGGCCATCTTCTGTTATATGAATACATACATATTTGGGCTGAGGCTCTGTGGTAGAACGGGGATCCAAAAACCCTGGATTTGATCCCCAGGACCAAGGAAAGGAGGAAAGAAAAGATGTTAAAGCAGTTCGTGTCACTTGCTAAGTTTGTGACAGTTTTCTCAACCTTCCCAACAGTTTGTACTGTTATTACAGCTCAGAAGTTGAAATAAACAGTTTCTAGTTAAGTGAAAGCAAATTTAACAAGTACGCTGTTGCACAGGCACAGATGGAACAGTTTATGAAACCTCAGATGCAAAGATCACGCTTAATACAGAAATGAAACCTTGAAAACAGGAAGCAAAAATGGGAACAAGACTGGATTTCATAACATGTTTGAAAATGTATTTAAGAGATTGCACTATAATTTCCCAATTATATTTCTTAATGTGGAATACACAGTCATTGTGTAAACTCAGAACGCGATTTTATAGTGTAGCTAAAGTAGGAAGGAAACATCTGCTTATCATGTACAAAGAGAAAGCCTTCCATCCCAAGTTCTATGTACACTGATCCTGAAAGCTTAAGATAGCAGAAACAATGAGAATTGAGAAAGTGTTCATACAAAAGGCTCACAGCAGCTGGGATGCCTATTCTTAGCAGATTCTTAGCAGCATTCCCTGGCAGGAGAGAAATATCTTAAGAGAAAACTCACATTTTAGATTTTTAAAAAAAATATTTATTTTTATTTTTATCTTATGTGTGGGGATGCTTTGCCTGCACATACATCTGTGTACCATGTTCATGCCTGCTATCCTTAGAGGTCAGAACAGTGTGTCAGATTCCCTGGGACTGAAGTTACAGACAGTTAAAAGCCACCATGTGGGCGCTGGGAATTGAACCCTGTTCTTGTGCAAGAAAGGCAATTACTCTTAACTACAGAGCCAACTTTTCAGTCTGAAAACTGGGGTGGATAGACGGACACCTTACAGTGTGTAGGGTGAGAACTGGGGTGGATAGACGGACACCTTACAATGTGTCAAGGGTTAGAATTGAGTCCAGAAAGACTTTTTTCTCCTTTTAATTAAATTTTGCAAGGTACTGTAGTGGATATAAAAGAGGAATGAATTTGCCTGACTCTAAATCTAAGCCACTTACTGCGTTTTCCTGGCTACGTACTTTGCCCATGCGGTACATCTGTTATTCATCTGTAAAGTGGATATTCATGCATATGACTTTTGTGAGAACTTTAAAGCTTGGAACATTTGATACGTAAAAGTGAACATTATTTCTTTTTCATTTATAGCCACACAGTCTAGACAGTGACCAACTCTTGACTCTACACTCTCAGAAATACCTCTTGCAGCTTCTTACTCCTGCCCAGACCCCAATATGTTCTGGCACCCAGATATGGTGGATGTACAGCAGCTCTCTTAGGGCCCAATCTAACATGGTTTTTAGAAAAGAGTTTGAGTCTGTTACTCTCCAGGCTAATACTCATAAATAGTTTCTGCTTGTCTTTGGAGTTAAGTTGTAGATTCATTGCTTTAGGGGTTAAGCACTTAAGTCTGGGCCTGCCCTTCAATCTCATCTTCCTTGCTGTTCAATAGCTACCCTGTACTGCTTTCAATGCCTTCACCAGCCTTCTCTTGCCATGGTCTTCTTTTTTATGTATATGAATGTATTGCCTGTATGTATGTATGTATGTGAAGCATGTACACACAGAATAGGGCATTGAATCCCGTGGGACAGGAATTACAGATGGTTGCGAGAGACCATGTAGGTGGTAGGAATCAAACTCCATGTTCATCAGTCCTTCCACTGTCCTTCAGTCCCAGTTTACCTAAATTTCCACATATCTCTCATTGGGGTACTTGTTATGTAGGTCTTAGAGGGAACTTCGCCCACTAGATTATCGTTTTGTCCATTCCCAAACAGACACGGGAGCTAACTGGACAATTCACACATGAGAGCTGTTTTCACCACATCATTATCCTATAAACTCTACAAAGGCAAAACCTTCCTGGTTCCTGAGGAACAAGTAAATGGCTTGCATAGGCAATTGGAGTTGCTAGTTAAACACCTTGGGACCAGCATTGTCCACTGAGGGTGTTAGACTGCAAACACGCAAAGACACCCAATATAGAAGATTGTTAAAAGCTATTAAGAGCTTAAAACCAAGGACACTTTTCCCAAGACTGTTTTCCCATTTTAAACATATCTACAGAAGTGTCTTAACATTCCGTATCTCTTGCACAGAAATGCTTTTTCTTTTGAAACTGATTTTGGTGGTTCCTTTTTAGATGTGCATGCCATCTCCTCCCTTCCTTTTCCACATGGCCTCCTTTCACAACACTGACCACCCACACACAGCTCCACAGGAGCATGTGTGACTTGTACTTTCTTAAAACCAGTAGGAAAGAAAGTTGCAGGCAAAAATGCAACAAAAACACTCAAAATGCTGCTGAAGAGAATAGGAAAGGACACTGCATTCTGACGGCATGTGGGTGAGCTTCAAACTGCTAATTGTTGTCCTCAGCAAAGCAGGCAAGGCAGAGCATAGGGAATGAGAAAATGGGCAGAGAGCGTGAGACAGCTGCAGCGACAACAATAAATTTTCCTGAGGTCTGGGGATTCAGTGCACAGTAGAATCTTACTAGACTACTGCTCTTTTTCAGGCTAACTGATCAAGCATGGTGCTTCCACACAACAGCTTCCGAGCTCAAAATTGTAGCTCTGCATTAGCGTGCAGTATAATCACTTCTCTTTCTTTGTTTGGTCCTCTAGAATATGTTGAATAATGTACTTTCTTCACAGTCACAGTGAACCTGATTCAAAAGGCAACACCATCCAGATGACAGCCAGCATTAAATGTATAGTGATGCCCACAATCTGCATTAGAGGACCCACTCTCCAGCATCTTCATCTAACTTTCAGTGAGAGCAGTTTCAGTAGCAATTGTTGATGACTAGAAAGTCAGAAAGTGATCATTAATCTTTTAATAAAAGTACAGAGGTCTGGATTGAGTGCAATTTCCTATCAACTCATGTAACTCATGATGCTATTTAAATGCCGTATGTGGGCTGCCATCAAGCTTTGCTGAGGCAGGAAGCAAATCTGACCCAAAGAGAGTAGGGATGCTGTGTCACAAACTGTTGTTCGTTCAGGGGAAGGATAGCTCTGCAATGGAGAAAGGACCTTTTAGCATCCCCCCACCCATGCAGCTGTCCACCTGTGGTCTCTTGAGTACCTCAGCAACTAACGAATGTAGCTCTGCAACATTGTTTCTGCTCTTTGACAAATGTGTACCGAAGTCTATGCTCTGCATCACAGGTGATCTTGATTTACCACATCAAGGATTTTCAAAAGTTGTTTGCTTTTTGTGTAGTTCCTCTCCCCACTCCATAGTTTTTTTCCCCCACGTCCTTATGTAGTGGTCCAAAGAAATTTTTAATTATTTGCTGCTAGTACAAAATAGGATTGAGGAAACAGTGTCACAAGAAACTCAAACACCTAGCATTGTTGATAGGGCATTGGGAACCTAGTCATAGAACCAGAATGTGATTTGCAGAGAAGCAGTTTGTTCATGGGATTCCCTTACAGTTCAAATCTCATTCTAAATATAATCTGTTACGTAATTTATATTTCATTTTCTGATTATTTTTTATTACATCA